AAAACCTGGGATTCGGCTGGAGGATCCGGGGTTGCTACCTGGCCCCTTCTGGCCTGCCCTTCTCCTCCCTTGCCCACCAAGACCCTGGCTGTGGGCACCATCCCTGGGGGCTTCCTGCTCCAGGAGTCCAGCAAAGTGGCCTAGCAAGGGGGGCCCAGCCCTTCCGGGAGGAGGAGGAGGAGGAGGAGGAGCAGCGCATGAACGGCAGCTGGCCTGTGGCTGGTGCTCCTTCCGTGGCCCTCCTGGCTGCCTTGACTGGGACAAGCAAGCGGGTGCAGGCAGCGGATGGAAGTGGTCCTCACAATTTTATTGCACAAGGGGAGAGAAGCCGCAGCATCCCCACTCCTGCCCGGGGGGGGGGGGGGCAAGGGCTAGGCAGCTGCCCCTGATAACCAGAGACCCCCCCCTCCATGCACCCAGCCCAGGAACCCAGAGGCAGCTCCAGCCAGGCATTCAAGCCGGCATCGGCAGAGGGTGGCTGAGGACGAGACGGGGCGGTGGCTCAGGGTCCCCTCCATGGAGTGCTCTTGAGCATGGAGCCCAGTGGCCTCTTCGCCAGGCGCAGGACGCCCACGCTCGACCGTCCCACACACAGGACACTCCCCCCCACGGGCCCTTCTGCCCAACACCCCCCACGGCCCCGAGTCCGAGGGCCAGGCGATGGCTCCTTCCACTGGGGAGGTGGCCTGGGCTGCTGCTGGACTGCTTCTCGGAAGGCCCCTTCCAGTCTCCTCACTGCTGCCCCTCAGGTCCGACCTGTGGCCACCCCCTCTGCCCCCCCCCCCCCAGCAGCCGCTACTCTGCCGGGATGGGCGTGTTGCAGTTCCCGTGGTAGATGCGGACGTGGCCGTTGCAGCAGAAGTAGCGCTCGAAGACATCGCTGTAGCCGTGGTCCCGCCACCAGGTGCAGAGCTGGCGGTTCCAGGTGCAGTCCAAGACGTGGAAGAGCTCGGGGTGCTCCATGCCCACCAGGGTGAAGAAATCCTGGTCCCCCAGGTGGCCCTTGAAGTGGAACTTGCTGGCCAGCTGCTGCACCACCGCCGGCTCTAGCAGACGGTTGTAGAGCTCTGACTGGCGCATGGCCTCCAGGTCCAGGAGCAGCACCCCGCTGTTGAAGCCAGGCAGTCCGTCCGGAGGTGGCTCCCCCACCTTGGTCCCGGGATGTTCCTGCCGATACTGCCAGAAGATGTGCCTGGGGTGGGGGGGGGGGGGGGGGAAGAGCAGAGAGGTCAGTCCTGCCCACAAACGAGACGATGGGCGAGGAGGGAAGTGGGCACAGCAGCGGAGGGGCCGTTTCCGAGCTCTCGGGTGCCCCAACCTGAGGAAGCCCCCGGAGCACCAGGGACAGCCGCTGCCCCCTTGCAAAACCGCGTCGTCTTTCTCCCTCTCCCTCCCTCTCTCGCCCGCAGGCAGGGGGGGAGGCTTCATGCCACTACTTGCCAGGGAACAATGCCCTCTGGCCACAGGTGGCACCTGCCCTCAGGGAGGGCAACCCAGCCTGGAGCAGCTCCAGAAAGGAAGGAAGCCCTTGGTCCATTCGCAGCAACCGTTTCCTTGTGGGTTGAAGCGACGCATCTCCATGCCCCTCGGCAGCGATGGGCACAGAGTGGCATGCAGCCCCTGACCCTAAAGATACATTGCCACGAAGACCGGGAGCTTTAGGCGGCTTCTTCTTCTCCAGGACACCAAGGCAGATCATTGGAGCATCCAGGGAATAGCAGTTTACCCCAAGAGGCCGCCGTGGGCAACGGGGCCAGGGTTGCCACAGGACCCTGCTCAGCCGGGGGAGGCAAGTGACGAAAGCCCCTGGCAGCCCCAGGAGCTGGTCTTCCCCCTGGTAGCTGCCTTGGCCTCAGTCTGGCTGCCCAATCGCCCTTCCATCACCTGGCCCTGGTGCCAGGCAGGATCTCCACCAAGCCTTGTTTGCAGGCTGTGAGGCAGCCTCCATTTGTTGGGCAGAGGAGCCATCGAGACCCCTGTGCCCTACCAGTGTCAAGACCTCCCTCTGCCCCACAGCCCAACCTGCGGTTGTCACACAGACCGCTTGCCTGCCCCACGTACCACAAGGGCCCCTCCTGCCCTGTGGGCTTTGGCTGACTTCCAGAAGCCCACGCAGTGCCAGGGCTGGCCTGGCCGGCACCCTCCCCTCCACAGGGGCCCTCAGCGGGGAAGGGCCTGGGGAAAGACACCATGCCAGGCGTGGCTACATACCGATAGACCGGCTGCATTTCTTGGGCGATGCCAATAACTGCTCCTTCTGGGAAGTTGTCAAATTCCTGAAACAGTTCCCGGATATTGGCCCGGTACTCCACATCCAGGTCCACCTGTATGACCCGTGAAACTTCTGGAAGCACAAAAAGAGCAGGTAAGACAGGGGCCTCTGCTGCCTTCAGCAGTCCCGGTCGCTAAGCAGGGGAGCCCCCCCCCCCCGAAGACCGGGTCAGAAGGGGGGGCCTCTTCAGATGTCCTCTCAGCAGTCCTTTCTGGGGTGCATCCACTGGGTAGACAACTGGGCTACCTGAGGAAGGGGCCTGCCTTTTCTCCCCCAGCCACTCGAAGGCCCTTCCTGCCCAAAGCCAAACCCCACGGCTGCTTCTCCACCCGCAGAACCCCAGAAGCGGCTGAGCTGAGGCTGAGTCCAGCCTTCGGCTCTGTGGAAAGAGGAAACACTCTGACTCTGGACCCTGAATGTCCAGTACCCTCGGCCGGGTCCCCTGGGCGGGGGCAGTGGGGCTCGGTGGCCACCTGTGCCCTGGCTGGTCTCCCCCTAGAACAACAACCAGCAAAGTAGAAAACATGGTGGAAGGTCAAGCACACCAACGAGGCGCCTCCCCTCTGCAAAATACATTTCCCCAGGAAGAAACATTCAAGAGGATCTGGGTGGACGGAAAAGGCCCCCAGGCTCCAGCAGCCGAGAAGACCTTAACGGGCACTGCCTTAGACGCCTCTGTTCAGTTCCAGCGCCTTAGGATTCCTCCCCCTCCGCCCCGCAGGTCCTTCTTGGGGGGGGTGGGGGAATCCAGACTGGCTGCGATGCTACAAATACTTCTTCAAATTTATCCTTCTCAGCCGGTTAGTCCACAAAGGTCCCCTGGGCACCGATGCCCCCCAGCGCCCCTCACCTCTGGGCATGAGGTGGTGCATGGCGACCGAGAGGAAGAAGAGCGAGTCCCCGTAGTAGCTGCCAGCCCCCGCACTGAAGAGCTTCTGCATGGCCTCCACCGTGGGCTGCAGCTTCTGGGTCAGCACCTCCAGGTCGTGGAAGACCACCTGCGGAGGAGGGCAGAGGGGCTCTCAGGGCAAGGGGGGGGGAGCCCCCCCCCAACAGGGCACGCCCCCCCCCCCGCTTCTTTCGGTGCTGTCCAGATGCCAGTTAAGCTACAACAGACTGAGCCACGGAGGGAGACGCCCGGGGGGTGGGGCGGGGTGGGGCGGGAAACGAGGCCCAAGGGAGCCGGGCCTGCGGATGCCGCTCCCTCCCGCCCCAAAACCCAACTCTCCGCCTGGCTGAGGGGCCAAACGGGACCCAGCGGAGGCCACCTGGCTGGGCGCGGCTGCTGGGACAAGCCGAGGGAGTCCCCGCTCCCGAAACCGGGAAGAGCCGCCCCGGCGTCGGTTCACAGGGTCCCGCCGGGCCGGCGAGCGAGGGGAAGCCGGAGAGTCGGGGGCGAGGCGAGCCGGGTCCCCCGCGGGGCCCACCTTGTACTTGAAGGCGGCGGGACGCAGCGCCTGCTGGAGCAGCTGCCGGGCGGCGCTCCGGCTGGGCCCGTCGCAGAGCAGGTGGAGCGCCAGCGCCTCCCGCGGGCCCAGCTTGCCGAAGCGCACCAGGGAGCGCAGCGCCGCCGCCGCCTTGGCCAGCAGCGCCTCGTTGCGCTCCGCCTTGGCCAGCACCGCCAGCACGTGCAGCTCCGCCGCCTCGGCCCGCAGCAGCAGCTCCTCCTCGCCTGCCTTGGCCTTGCTGTCCGGCGCCGGCCCGGGGGGCGACGGGGAGGGCGGCCGGGGGGGGCCCGGCGGCGGCGGCGGGCCGGGCCGAGCGGGGCTGGAGCCCGCGTAGTAGAGCGCGCAGGCCAGCGCCATCGCCGCCGCCGCCGCCAGAGCGCAAGGCTGGGCGCGCAGCACCGCCGGACGACGCGCCATGGCCGCCCCGAAGCCCCGCCCCCCGCGGAGGAGGGACCGCCCCCGCGGGGGGGAGGGACCGGCGGGGGAGGGTCGGGCTCGCCGCCGCCGCCGCCTCCCGGCCCACCCCGACAGGCGGAAGCGAGGCTTTAAGCGGGGAGTCCCCCCGGGTCCCCCCAGTGGCGAGCGGCCCACCTCCAGCCTTTCCCGGGCCTTCGCGAAGGGCACCGACGGCGGCCCGGAGCCTCCCCGAGCCCAGGGACTGCTTTGGGAAAGGGGGCGGTGGGCTGCAAGTCAAAACCACCAGCCGTGAAAGGAGCCCGGGCAATGCCAGCCCAGGAGGCGCTTGGGGGGCCCGGGGCAGCCCCGGTGGGTGCAAAGGCCCCTCCTGGCCCAGGAGAAGATTTGGGGGTCCTGGGGAATGCCGGGGGGGGGGGGCTTCACCCCCACCCCGCTTTCCCAGAGGCTGCTCCCATCCAGGTTCCCGGAGCCCCGGAACTTTCCCCAGGATGCACATCACATTCGGCAGATCAGCCGGTGGGAAACCTGATCCTGAAGGCCAAGAGCCAACCTGGTGGGAGGGAGGCCCAGTGGCAGAGCCAGGAGGACGGAGCCCCCTTCCCATCCCGGAAGAGGCCGAGACTGGCTCTCTTTTGCCTGGGTGGCGGTGGGGTAGAAGCCAGGGGGTGAAAGCACAAGGAAGGCCGCCTCTGGAAGGACCCATCGCGGAGGGCAGGGAGGTGCTGGCTTCTTGGCTGGAGAGGTGTCCGGGGGGCCCCTCCTGACTCTGGGTTGCCAGGTGTGCCCTGTGGCAGACTCCCCCTCCCGGCTGCCTCCCAATCGCCTCCACCCAGCTCCATCAAAAGCAATGACACGTATGCAGTCGAAGCAGGTTTATGTATAAAAAGGGGGAGGGGGGGAATAAGGATACATGGGGGGGGGTGGAGGGCTCATTCGTTGCAGCCCTTGGGCCTTTCAGGGCTCTGGTGTGTCCGGTGGCTGGAAGCGCTTGAGCTTTTCTGGATTATTGGAGGCCATCTGGGAGAAGTCCCGAAAGATGTCCTGGTAGGTTTCATCTCCTGTGAAAGGAGGGAAGACGCGGCAGCACTGAAGAGGCGCCCATGCCTCCCCCCCCCCCCCCCCCCCCCCCCCCCCC